TCTCTCTCTCTCTCTCTCTCTCTCTCTCTCTCTCTCTCTCTCTCTCTGTGGTATGAATGTGCCCTCCTTATAAATAAATGTAATCGATCATTTTTTTAAGAAAAGATTTCAGTCTCAAATATGTTTTGCTGGGATAGGAAAATACATTTAACTGTTAATATGATGCTGGTTAGTAAATGGGTTCTTTTTTGAGACAAGGTTTTTCTGTGTAGCCCTGGCTGTCCTAGAACTTATTCTGTATATCAGCCTGGCCTCAAACTCACAGAGACACCTGCCTCTACCTCCTAATTACTGGGATTCATTACTGGGTACCACCACTACCTGGCTACTAATAAAACATGTTTTAAAAGATGTCTTTGTCCAAATTGGAATTTGGATGGTGTTCTATTGAGGTAGCTTTTATAATGATCCTTATGAAGAAGACTTTTCTGTAATGGATGAGTAAAAATATGGCAGTCATTTGGTTGAGATATACAATTCTGCTACACTAGTCCATCTAGTTAAATAGAAAAATCTTGCTAATGCTATAGACCCAGAAGTAATAAATGACCCCTAAGAGTTAATTTTAGCAATTAAATGATAATATAATAATAAGTACTTGGCTGTGCATGATAGACCTAAGATAGATGAGAATTAAGAGTAGATACAACTTTATTTATTTCTTTTTTCTTTTTTTCTTTTTGTTTTGTTTTTTTGTTTGTTTGTTTTTTTGAGACAGGGTTTCTCTGTATAGCCCTGGCTGTCCTGGAACTCACTCTGTAGACCAGGCTGGCCTCGAACTCAGAAATCCACCTGCCTCTGCCTCCCAAGTGCTGGGATTAAAGGTGTGCGCCACCACTGCCTGGCAGATCCAACTTTATAAAATTCAAAATTGTCTGAGTTTTTTTTTTAAAGATCCTAAGCAATGCTTTTCTCTCTATTATTGTCTTGCCCTTTCTGCTTTTTATTTCCTCTTTACCTCTTTCTCCTCTTCCTCTCATGGTACAGCATCTCCTCTTCCCTGTCTTCCTGTCATTTCCTTCCTTGCATGCCTTGTTGCTTGCTGGTGTTCTTTCATGGGTGTTATAGTACTCTGTTATAAGAGGACCCCTGATTGAGCGGGCACCGAGTGAGGGTAAATGCAAGGTCAGATTTGGGGTTTGAATTATATGGAAACTGGGTGGATCAGGAAAGAGTGTTTCAAGTTGATAGCAGTAAATAATTCTGAAGAGGTAAAATAAGTTGAAATGAGTAACAAATGGATAGGTTTCTGGGGTGATGATAATTTTGATACAGATTTCATAAACTATTTTAAGACATAAGATGAGTAAGAAGATGAGTATATTGAATTGTAAAAAGATGGGTTTGACTTGGCGTTAAAGCAACAAGTGTTTTGTTGAAGTATTTTGTTTCCTTTTCAACAGTGTTCTTTTGTTATCACCACCTATTTTAGTATACAACTGTATCAAACATATTTCTTTGCCTTTTTTTTTATTTTTGCTTCTCTGTTTTTTTTTTTTTTTTTGGCTTTCCCAGGATTTGATTCATTGTTTAGTCTCCAATGTTTAGTGGCTACTTTAAATTATTATTGTTTGGAGAGGAGAGGGAAACAATCTCTTTAGTGTCCTATAACAATACTGTAGACTAGATTATTTATAAATTATATTAGTCTGGCTATATTAGTTCTGGAGGCAGAATATCTAGTATCAAGGTTCCTTATCTGGTGAGAGACTATGTACATAGGATAGAAAAGGAGAAAATCCACTTTTGATAATTGCATTATTTATTTATGAGAACAGAACCCTCATAACCTAATCATTGTTTCCAGTTGTTATCTTCTAACACTGGTACACTAGGGCAGTGCTTTTCACTCTTCCTAATGCTGTGACCCTTTAATACACTTTCTCATGTTGTGGTGACCCCCAGCCATAAAATTACTTCATTGCTATTTCATAGTTGTAATTTTAAAATTGTTATGAATTTTAATGTAGCTGGGGAGTGGTGGTGCATGCCTTTAATCCCTGCCTTTGGGAATTGGAGTGGGCAGAAGTAGGTGGATCTCTGTGAGTTTGAGTCCAGCCTAGTCTACAGAATGAGTTCCAGAAAAGCAAGAGAATACACAGAGAAACCATGTCTTACAAAACCAAAAAAAGAAAGAAGTATAATGTAGATATACATCTGATATGCAGGATATCTGATGTGTGACCCCTGGGCTGAGAATAGCCAACTGGAAACTTGACATTGGAACACATTCGGTTTATACCAGAGGTGTACATTTTCATTAATTGTGCTTTTAAAATATAGTCAGATGATTAAAAGAAAGTCAAAATGTTAATTAGTTTTTGATTTAGATGTTACTTTTCCAAATGTAATATTTTGATTTTTCTCCTTTTGTGCTTTAATACAGTGCTAACAGAGTAGCAGCTGTCATCTTGCATTAAGTTGGATAAATACTGTGATTTTTTTAAAAATAATCTTACTAGAAAGTGAATGATGTACATAAAGTATTTCATTATCTGAGATAAGTTTCTTTTAATGATATATTTGTGTTCTGTCCATTTTCCAGGTCATCCTGTTCAGTTCTACAGCATGAATAGGCCTGCCTCTCGCCATACACCACCCACAATAGGGGGCTCATTGCCCTATAGACGCCCTCCTTCCATAGCTTCACAAACAAGCCTTCAGAATCAGATGAATGGAGGTCCTTTTTATAACCAGAATCCAGGTTAGATTTCTCTTTTGCAGTTTCTTTTAATTTCTTTTATATTGCACCATAAAAAACAAATAAGCAAAACCCTTTTGTTACATACAATTAGCCCATACATAATAGATGTTTATCCTATACACATTTGGTAGTTTAGTCTATTGTTGAATGGATAGAAGAATGAATGAACACTAAGATTTTTTTTTTGTGTGTGTGTGTTTCTACAAAGGCCTTTACTAAACAGTTCCTTCCAGGGTGACAGGACTTAGCCACAGGGCCACAGCCAGGCCCGACACCAACATCCCCAACAGCTCAGTTGAACACAGCATGGCAGACTGCCCTTGGCCAGCAGAGGAGGGCAGGCCCCAGCAGTTACTTCTCTAGGGGTGCATAGTTCAGCAGTTTTTCAGTCAGGTCCACATGTGCTAGCAGCATGTGGCAGCCACAGGAGCGCTTTAGGCCCAGAGCGTCCAGGGCATCCCCTCAGTGTACTTGGCCTGCAGTAGACCCAGGCAGGCTTCCCATTTGTTGCTGACAATCTTCCCGCAGGTGAAGCAGCGCACTGGGATGATCATGGAAAGTCAATACATGATTTATATGTAAGGCTAAAGAGCTCATTTCTCCTTCCCCCAGTGTAATAGTTTTCAGTGTGCCTAGTCATTTGCTTTTAAAACTAATACTGAATTGGCAGTACCTTTCCAGCACTTGGGAGGCAGAGGCAGGTGAATTTGAGGCCAGCCTAGTCTATAGAATGAGTTCTAGGGCAACCAGCTACGTAGAGAAACCCTGTTTTGAAGAACAGGAACAACAATAACAACAAAAACCAACTAATACTAAGCTAGACATACACATGCTTTTTTGTAATCGCAGCATTCATGGGGCAGAGGCAAGGAGAGTAGCCAGAATGAGAGCCTAACTCAGGTGGGGTATGTATAAGAATAGTGTTTTCTTTTTGTTTAATGAGACATCACTGCTCTGTGAATTACACAGAAGTTGGGTGTACATAAAGGTGTTTTGCATTAGGCAGTCAAACTGTCTAAATGCAGTTATTACATCAGATAGTGTGATGGGCCTTGGAGAAATCAACTCAAATATAATAGTTGAAATAAAGAATTGAATCATATATTACAGAAAAGCTAACTGTGCACACTTAATGTTACATATAATAGTGTTTTGTTAATTCCCTGGAGAATTCAAGGGAAACTTTAGACATCTTGACTACGTGAATATATTATGTTACCTTACTATTTTGTTTTTTAATTTTTGCTAAGGGGTAATTAAGCCTGTTTGAGCTCCTCTAACTTAGGGGACAAATCATTCTATCTCTTATAACCATTGAATTTATGGAGCAAAAAATTTATGTGGTGGCTGCTGTTAGTAAAACCTTAATTATGTTCTTTATAATCTTGCAAAAGAAAAAAATGACTTTCTTTTTATTTGTTGTCTCATTTGATTCACATATAGATAATAAGATTGGTGATAGTTTTAAAATTATTTATTTTTATTTTATTTTATGTGTATATAGGTATTTTGCTTGCAAGTATGTATGTATGCTTGTGTACCATGTATATGCCTAATGTCCACAGAAGCAAGAAGAGGGAGTTGGATCTCCTGAAACTGGAGCTACAGATACTTGTGGGTGCTGGGAATGATTGAATCTGGGTCCTCAGGAAGAACAGTTGTGAACTTAGTTGCTGAATGGTCTCTCAGTCCCAAGATTGATGATCAGTCATATATATCTACTTTGTATATGAAACCAAGGTCAAAGTGTTTTATTTGTTTGCTTGTTTTTCAGGATAGGGTTCTCTGTGTAGTTCTGGCTGTACTAGATATAGCTCTGTAGACCAGGCTGGCCTCAAACTCAGAGATCTGCCGGCCCCTGCCTCTCAAGTGCTGGGATTGAAGACATGTGCCACTCAATATTTTTTGATTCTGTATTTCATGCTTTTTCTATTGTCACGTCCTACCTACCTTCAAATTAAAAGGTTTTTTTTTTCTTTTTTTCTTTTTTTTTGGTAGTGATGGAGTCCTTGTTAGTCTTTATGCAGTGTTCTGAGAAAATTGTTCAAAAATATTGTTGAATATCAAATGAAACCCTTCTTCTTCCAAGTTTCTTTGCTGTTCTGGGCTCCTCTCCTATATTGAATGCTGTATTTGTAGTTTAGTTAGAGCAAAATGCAGTGTACATCCACCTAAATGCCTTGGTTGAAATATATTTGTCTTTTCATGCTTAGTGTTCTAGGCTGCTTTTTCTTAAAATTCATTTTCATCTTAAATATTGCCAGAATATATGACATATCCTGCTTCTAGTTGTGTTTTCCAAATTTGCATTACAAGTATGTTTTTTTCTGAAATTATTTTCCTCCACTTTAAAAACTATGTCTTATTTAGACAGGTTTTGAATTTGTGGTTTCACCTTATTATTCTCCCGACTCACCCTCCTGAGTTGGATGCATGATCTCATGGCCATTGCAGGCACTGTTGTTTTTGTTCTTCCGTTTTAGTTTATTAGCTACAGCTTACTTCATAGTTTCGTGGAAGATGGGCTAGCTCTCTTGGTTATCTGGAAAGTACTGCTTATAGTCCTTTTCTTACTTTAGGTTTGAAACAATGTTACTTTAGGTTTGAAACAATGATGTTAATCCAAAATGGGTTAAATCCATAATGAGGTTGTCACTGTTAAAAGCTTTGATACAGATGTACAGGGTACTTAGTAAGAATACAGAAGGAATATTTCATGCTGCATGTATATACTCAATAGTTCTGAGACCTCTGTAGATAAAGTTTGACAGCTGTTTTAAACATCTGTTTCATGTATTTAAATCTTGAAGTACTAAGGATTGAGTCTAGGGCTTTGTGTTAGGCAAGTGCTCTACTGTTGACTTGTATCTCTAATGCACTGAAGAGTCATATTTCAATAATGCTTTTTTAATAAATCAGATTCATATATGCCAAATATAGTTTAAAGTAAAATTAAATCATTAGGGAGGGACTTTTAAGTATTTTATGCACTCAAGGAACTAAGGTGAATTGGAATTGTTGGGGCTGTGAGAAGTAGCTCAGTTGTGACTTTGTATTTTCTGTATCTAAGTTCTGCCTTCTCTTAGAATTTGGTAACTTTAACGAAGACAGTTATAGCTCTGGTAATCATAGTGCTTTTTAAAAAGCAGAACAAAATTATTGTTCTTCTAGAGAGAGAAGTCTCTGGCATTTCAGCTATGATCCTTGAACATGCTAGGCAGATGTTCTGTCTTTGTCCTGTACCTCACACCCAAGCATGCCTTTTTCCTTTGACAACTCTTTGGTGAGACTTAATGCTTAGTGAACCGTTTTGTGAACATGATGACATGATGCTTGTATAAGCCCATATTTTGCAGCAAGAAGCTGTGTTTGAATGTTATTTTAGATAGTTCTTGGTGGGGGGAGCAAACCAAATTAAAAACCCCCACAGCTAATAAGTCTTAAGTACATTCCCATTTGACCAGGTAAAACAAATAGGTCCTTAGTACTGACTTTTAAATGCAAAGTATAGTTTTAGACTATAAGTCATAATCAGATAGGTGGTTTTTTTTTTTTGGCATAACAGCTTTTGTTGACTTTATGTTTGAAAAAGAGTACCAAAATGATGTCATTAAAAAGAATGTTCTGGGCAGTGGTGGCGGACACCTTTAATCCCAGCACTTGGGAGGCAGATGCAGGTGGATTTCTGAGTTCGAGGCCAGCCTGGTCTACAGCCAGGGCTACACAGAGCAACCCTGTCTCGAAAAAAAAAAACCCCAAAGAAAGAAAGAAAAAAAAAGAAAAGAATGTTCTGAGACTAAAGGTTAACAGTTCTTTGTAACCCCAGTTGTATCATTAGACAGCTTCCTATTACTAATTTCTCAAATTATTTTTTAAATCTTTCATGTTTTCGGTTGATATTTATTTTGAAAAAATATAGTTTGAAATAAATTGCATAAATTATTTTCCTCCCTGGAATATAAAATACCACCAACTAAATTTAATATGTAATAGCTAAACATAATGTTTGTCATTGAATTCAGAAGTAGTTTTTTAAAAAAATGATACTGCTTATCTGTGGACTTCCAAGAACTCCAGCCTTTTTTGTTTTTAAAGATTTATTTATTTATTTTATGTATACGAGTACACTGTAGCTGTCTTCAGACACACCAGAGGAGGGCATTGGATCCCATTACAGATGGTTGTGAGCCACCATGTGTTTGCTGGGAATTGAACTCAGGACCTCTGGAAGAGCAGTCAGTGTTCTTACTCCATCTCCCCAGCCCCAGAAGCAATTCTTATTATGTTTGTTTTGCCTTTTTATAAGAATATTTATAAAGCTTATAAAAATAAGATGTGAAAGTCTAACATCATTACTTTATAATGCTTTTGATTGGATGTCTGAAGTATCAGATCTCAAAGATGCTTCACAAGACTTTAAGTCACCAGGAAACTTAAGGCTTGTAAAGTCTATTTCACCAGCACATTCATCCTTCTAGTCTATTTTGTTGGGAAAGCCTTTTACTTTAGTGTCTAAATCTTGTTCTGTACGTAGCTGTAGTTTCATTGCAGCTCAGTTAAGATATCTCTAGAATCTCAGCCACCTAGTGAGTCTCTTTTCTCACTACACCACTATATTTATTTTTCCATTTTACTTAATGTGTATGGGTGTTTTGCTTGCATGTATGTCAGTGTATGTCACCCACAGGTGCCAGAACAAGGCACTAGACCCTCTGAAATTAGAGTTATAGACAGTAGTGAACTGCCACGTGGGTACTGGGAACCGAACCTGAGTCCTCTGGAACAAGTGCTCTTAACCATGTCTCTAGCCTGACACCATTGTATTTTTAATAAAAATAATGTAACTCATTCTAAATTCAGAGATCTTTTAGTAGTTCTAAGGTAAAGGTCTTATCATATAGGAGTCATCTTGGATAAATAATGGGAACATACAATTTATAAAGTTGCTTCCCTTTTTTGTTGTTGTTGTTACTGAGGATGGAATTCAAAGCCTTTGGCATACGAAGGATGTGCTCTGTTACCGAGCCGTGCCCAACTTCTACTTCCTGTTTTTTTCTGATCTCAGGAATGCACAGAACCAGGTAGAACTGAATTCTGGTTAGATGATCTTTTGAAACAAATTTCCCAAGAGTAGCTTAGAAAAACAACTGTTTCAGAGTAATTCTTTTTTAGGAAGGTCTGAAATTGGCTTTTTCAAGGCTGCTTTTGGTGGCCTTCTTAAAAGCACGATGGTCTCATGTCTAGAAAGGAAGCATATTCATCTGTTAAAAATAATCTGAGCTGGGCTATGTAGGTGCAGGTCTTAAATCCCAGTACTCTGGAGGCAAAGGCATCTAAATCTAAGTTCAGGGCTAGCCTGGTCTACAGAGTAAGTTCTAGGACGCCCAAGGCTACACAGAGAAACCCTGTCTTGACACTCTTGCCCCAATTAATAAGCCCAACTTGCCTATAAAAAAGACTGTTATAAAGATTATGCATGTACTCCCACCCTCCCAAGTACAAAAGTCATTGTTTTATTTGGTAGATAAACCATAGCTGAAGAGAGAGATTTTCTGTTTGAGAGGAAGGAAGGAAGTTTACATCTGCTTTCAGAAGATGTTTGGTCTCACAGGATGTCTATGCATATGCAGTGTCCTTCTTTCCTGTGGTCCAGTGCCATGTGCTGCTGTTTCTCTGCTGTAGCTGCTATCTAGCTGCTTGTTGAAAGAGGTATTACAGCTGTGTCAGCAGCAGACCCAATCTTCTGAGTCAGGTTCTTACTGCCAGAAAGTGAGATTTCAGAGAAAACCTAAGTAAAATTATCTTTTGAAGGAAGGAGCCAGTTTCGAAGAGTAAGCTGGTTTTTCTTCAATCTAGATTCTCTTCAGAGTGATCTGCTGAGCTCTCCTCCTGCTTTGTACTTGTGCTTGCCTGTCTGTGCCCACCATCAGCCATGGCCACTCTACTGAGAGCTCCTATATATCCCACCCATATTTTCTTGTTGTCTCTTATTTTTATGCTTAAGTTACCCTCATTCATTCCACTTAAGAAAACCTCAGGTGTTTGATTTTTACCAATGAAGACTCAGGAGCCAGATGCTGGGATGAATGCCTGCTAGCTCAGAAATGCAGAGAAAGAACCTAGCTGAACATCTTCCTCACCTGATATTCCAGAAGGAATTCCCTCTCTCATGGTCTCAAACACCTCTCTAAATCAGTGTCTCTCCCTTCTACTTCTTATTCGTCTCTATCCTTCCTCCTGATTCCCTTTTACTCTGTTTTTTTTTTCTTAATAATCCTATGTTCACTTACTATCAGCTGGTTGTAGCTCTGCCTCTTGATCTTTGGTGGTCTTTAATCTTGTTTACAATAAACAGAAGGCTCTTGGATTATAAAGGTGTGTGCTAAGGCTGAGCCACACTACAGCTAAAAACAGGTAAATAATACAATCTTGGAGTTTACAATGTGGTGAAATATCCAGCAGCAATTATGTCAGTATGTCTCCATCACGCAGTGCTTTTCCAGTACTTAGTTATCAAGGTTAATGAGTTAATAGCTTCTTTATCTTTCTTCCTACAGGCTAACAAACTCTGTGAGTCGCTTTGACCTTTTGCTGCTCTTTGTATAGTAATTAAATCATTAGTTATCTATACTGGTTTACCTACAGTGTTACTAAGTTCTTTACGTTTCTAGAGTCTGTCTTGATTTACTTTGTGCCAGGCTTAGATTAGGCTTTTAAAGAAAATTTTTTTCTACCACTATGTGAAATAGGGTTGCATTATCTGTTTTTCATATCATATTTATGGATGAGATTCAAAAGATCTTTTCATAGTATCTAAACATCAAGAATTTGAGGCAGAGTAACTTAAAAAAATTAGTCTCTTTGTTGGGGTCCAGGAATTGCCTCACAAACCACATGAACACCAATCTCAGTCAGACAGGGATAGTTTATTGAGCTTATGTCCCAGGACTGGTTGACCAGGGCCATGGTCCAGATTCAGGAACTGAACCATGACCCTGAGTTAAGATCCTACAGGGTTCTTAAGCCCCAAATCCACAAACATCTGTGCCAAGTTATTTCACTATTCAGGATTTAGAGATAGGGGGTTTCCTTAGGAACATGTCTTAGTTGTACACTTTTCCCGCTCCCATTGGTTGGGGTATTCAGCTGTGGCAGGGGACTTGCCTTATCTAATATTCATGTCTTAACTTGTTTACCAAGATGGTACTTGTCTAACATTCATGTCTTAACTTGCCAACCAGGATATCAGTTACCTACATACGTGCCTCTTTCTGATAAGTAGGATGTCAGTTGCCAGGGAGGTCTTGGGAACTTAAACTTTACTCGGCCACTACTCAAAATGGAAGTCTTGTTCCAGTAGTTTCTTATATTGGTGCAGGTGTCTCTCTTATGTTGGGGAACATCCCGGGGCAGCTCACACTATAAAAGCTTATACACAGGTGCAGGCAGGCAGTGCTGTTTGTTGGGTGGTTGGTTCAGGTCCAAGCTTTTTGTGGGTAACTATACGAAACAGTTCTACTAACTCTATTGTGATCAGCTTCCAAGGGCAGAGAACATAACAGAATATGTAGTCAATCTTGGCATTAGAAAGTTTCCTAGTAACAGCAGAAACATATGAGATAGTTCCCTTATAATGTCAGGCTAGCCAGATAACAGTTACCTGGCCTTAACATTCCATCTAGGCCTTAATATTTTATCTAGGTTCTTTACACTAAGCTCTTTTTCATGCCTACACATGCACCTTTCTGTGATTTTCATTAAACATTTTACCTTTATGTCTGAGTGTTTTGACAACATGAATGTATGTGTACCACATGCATGCTGGGTAACCTGTGAAGGTCATAGAGGTTTTTGGATCCATAGAACTAGACTTACAGATGGTTGTGAGCCAACATGTGAGTGTTAGGTCCTCTGTAAAGAAGCAACAGGTGCTCTGAACAGCTGACCCAACTTTCCACAACTTTCCAGCACTGTTTGTTTGTTTGTTTGTTTTGTATTTGGGGTAGGGTTTCTCTCTGTAGCTCTAGCTCTCCTGGAAGTCTCTCTGTAGACCAGGCTGTTCTCTAACTCAGAGACTGTCTGCCTCTCCCTCACAAGCTGGGATTAAAGGCTCGTGCTAAAGGCAGTGGCCCAGATATGGCCTGTTTAATTTTTAAACATATCTTCTACTAGCTTGATAGAGAAAACATTTTGGTCTTGTGAACTTGGCTCATAGTAAGCCTTTGTCCTAACTTGGTTCCTTAAACTTGTTTGTCTTTCTTACCTCTTGTCTGCATAACATACATCTCTTCAAGCACTTGTCCAAGAGATCTGTTCTCACTTCCTGTGGCTAGCATTGTCTCTAGGAAAGGTAGACAGAGTGGTGTGTGTGTGTGTGTGTGTGTGTGTGTGTGTGTTGTGTTGTGTTGTGTTGTGTTATCTCTTTGAGTGATGAAACAATTGACTCTTCCTAGTGTTATTAGTTATTTGAAATTTGGAGCAGATAGAGAATTCTATTAAGAATATGGATATCATAGTATATACCCTTTCTTACAGAAACTGTAACTGTAGAGTTAACCTTCAAAAAATTATTTAGGTATTTGCCTTATTTGTTTGTTTATAGAGAAATGTCTGTTGAAGTCTTACCGTATTCCTATACTGTGCCATGCATTTGAGATAGAGGGATGCAGTCTTGGAAGTCACTGGTGTTTTCTGTAGACTCAAGGAGAAAATTTGATGGATTGAAGTTACAAAACAAACAAACAAACAAACAAACAAACAAACACGCACACTGCAGTAATAGCACCTGATTCTCAATGAAAGGTTCTGATAACTAGTCTTCCAGTAGAGGCCTTACCCGTCAGTAGAGCTCAGGTCGTATTTCTTTAAATGAAGAACCAACTGATGCCTGTTATAAAAAGCCTGTTTAGGTTATTGGGTTGTCATGTTTTTCTTATATACTGACAGACATTTAAAAAAATCAAACTATTCATGATAATTAACAGAAATGTTTAGAGAACACATGTGCAACAGATAGAAATTGGATGTGTTCCCGTTACATGTTAGAGTAGATTGTGTATGATAAATGTTTCCTGCTGTAGTTTTAAAGCTTACTAAAACTCTTCAGTGTATTGTTTTGTTTATAAAATTACCCTCAGAAGTGGATCCATAAAGAAGACAAATATTTGTGAAAAGTGGTACACCTCCTTTATATGTCTTATTGTATTATCCTTCCTTTTATATAACGTGCCCTTACCCCTTATCCTCCACACCTTTTTTGTTTTTGCAGTATCTCTTGCTCCTCCTCCTCCTTCCATCCTACAGGTAACTCCTCAGTTACCTTTAATGGGATTTGTGGCCAGAGTCCAAGAAAATAGTAAGTTTATGTCTTCTTTATGCTGTAGATCAGATTATAGGCATAGAATGTACTCTACATATGACTGACTGAATAGTCACTCGTATATTTGGATACGTCATTGTGTGTCTCGCTAGTGATGACGGAGTAATTGAGGTGGACTGGAGAGAGAGCTCCTTGGCTAAGAGTGTCCTCTTCTCTAGCAGAGGACCTGGACTCGGCTCCAGGAGGCTCCACACCTATGGCCTCTGCAGATACTTGACATGCACATGCACATATCCACATTTAGACACATAATTAAATTATGGTAAATTTCTCTGCTTTCCGATAGCTTTAAAATGATAGGTTCTGGAAGTTATACTAGGAGCACATGCTTAGTTTCCATGAGATCCCAGGTTTGATCCCCAGGACCATAACCAAAAAACACCACCACCACCACCTAGTTATAAATGTCTGACAAACAGACATAAAATAGTAATGTAAGAAAAAACCTGCATGAGGATATACTCTTAATTGCCAAAGAAGTAGCCTGCTTATTTCTCAGTTGCCTAAACAGACTAGTCTACTATGACTAGAATCATAGATGTGTTATATGTGGCCTGAATATATCATTCTCCCATTTCAAGTATGAAAAGGACCACACACACACAGTAGGGCACACATCAGTCTGCAGGTTGTCTCCCAAGAAGCAGCCATTGATTGGCAGTGAATTTTCTTTGGTTTGTGTTTTACTTTTGAGTCATGCATAGTTATATAGCTAATTTTATTGGTATATTGATTCTCCTGGGAAAGCATCAAGGAAACTTGCATTTTTTAATTGGGAAGCTTGTGTCTGTCACAAAAAGAACTAAACAGTTTCTGTGATGGGCGATGAAGGGGCTACATCAGTCATAAACTTGCATGACATCATGGAATCTAAACTTAAAGGAATTACAGTTAATCCATGAATAACATGGATTTGAATTATTTGGGTCCTATTGATTTTGTCAGTGCTGAAACTTGTGTTGTGGATATGTAAAACTGTCTGTTTGTCCTTTACTATCATAAAATGCCCACAAATCTATTATAAGACGTTAAAATTTTTATCAAACTCAAGCAAAAAAATATTCACAGGCCACATATGACCTCGTTTGTAGTAGAGATCTAAGTAAAGACGCAGCGTTAATGAAATCATAGCTGCATAAAATTAACCCCATGTTGCTTTACCACCATAAGACTTTGTAACCCCCCATTACTGTTGTGAACATGTGTTATAGCGTCTACTTAAAATAGAGTGTGAGGCTAATCATCTCTGCATTCCCAGTAAATTGCTTATTCAGGTAAAAAAATGTTCCCCTGAGTGTGAGGGATTACTGGGTGATAGAGCAGTTGTCTAATGTGCACAGCCCTGGGTTTAATTTCTGCCAGTAGTTGGGGTAGGTATTGAGAGTGATTGATTATGATCTCTCATGAGTTTTCACTGTATATAATACATGTGGCAGAATGTGTGTTAATTGACAATAATAAGGCCTCCTGTCACGAGCAGGCTGTTAAAAATAGGTTTTGGGTCAATCAAAAGTTAACAGGCATTTCTGACTACCGTATGATTGTGGGAGAGGTACAAATATTTGCGTTGTTCAAGAGTCGAATTGTACACTAGTTGAAGATACAGTGTCATCAGGCCGTAGTAGCCCCACGGTGCACCTCTCATATACAGGGTGGATTGTACCACTCTGGTCTAAAAGTAGTTATAACCTCTTGTTATGGTTCCCTGGAAGTAGACATTTAACAGTAGAATGTAAGGTCTATCAGAGCAGGGGCTTTGCTAATTTTGTGTCCCTGACACTTAGAAGAGGGTCTGTCTCATAGCAGGCATTTTGGGGCCCTACTTTTTTGTATTTTGTTTGTATTTTAACTGTTTGTAGGTACAGTCTTTGCACCTGTCTCAGGGTTTCTATTACTATGATCAAGCTCCATAAGCACAAGTAACTTGTGGAAGAAAGGTTTCATTTCATTTATACATCCTTCCACACATCACACTTTGCTTTCACTTTCAGGTAACAGGCCATCACTGAGGGAAGTCAACACTGGAACTAAGCAAGGCAATAACTTAGAGGCAGGAGCTGGTGCAGAGGGCACGGAGGGGTGCTGCTTACTGGCTTGCTTACCATGGCTTGCTCAGCCAGCTTTCTTATAACACTCTTGACCACCATCCCAGGGATGGCATCATTCATAATGGGCTGGGTCCTCCCCTATCAATCAAGAAAATGCATCACAGGCCAGTCTGTGGGAACATCTTCTCAAATGATGTTCTCATTTCTAAAATGACTGTATGTGTCAAGTTGATCAAAAACTAGCCAGCACAGTGCCCAAAGGGTGGATGTATCAAGTCCTTTTACTTTTCTCTTTGCTGGTTTCTAAAAGTAGTCTATTTATTTCTGTTTATTAGAAAGTATGTCATGAGTATCAGTGAACTTTAAAACATTGTAATTTTTAAAGATGGTTTTTTAAATGTAAGAGCTATTTTCATTTATGTCCAACTATATTCTTTATGTTTCTAAATTATGCCTTTGCAGCATACTGATCTTTTGGCTCGTGTGTGACCCATGTTGGATCCAGGAGAAAGTGTTTGCCAAGCACAGCTGTGGTATAACCTTTTGCCAGTAGAAAGTTATAACCTTCAGATGTTAACTGTAGGATAGAACATACTGCACTTAAAATTTCCTGAAGCACAGACTGATTAGGTTTTTTGGAATTCCACATTTAGTGAAGTGTCATTATGGCAAGAATAACATTTTTCCCACCACAAATTAGTTTAAGTTCATTGATTAAAGAAAATAGTTGAATAATGAGTGGAAAGGTTTTTCTATTTTATTTTTTAAATCAACTGCTATGATGAGCATTTACCTGGGGGAATCTCATCACTCACTTGCTACAAATTCTTTGAAATGTTGCTGCTCAATCTGAACAGATTATTTCAAATATTTTAGAGATACTAGCCAGATTTTTTTTAACTGACTTTGAAGATTAACAGTCTATCAGAATATTTTCTTTTTTCCTTCAAAAATCAGACTTTAAAGATGAGCAGGATTACGGAACTAGTTGTCATTAACTTTTACCAGTAATTAGTGTAAGATAGAAGGCTTGTATCAAAAATATTTCATAAGTAGAAGTACTATTTTAATTTAATGTTATTTAAGTACTTGATTGGTGTTCAGGACTTAGTTGTCACTTGAGTAGATCATTGTAGAACACTATTATAGCAGCACTGTTAGCATTTTAAAAGCCACTTCCTAATTTGGTTCCTATCATAACTAATTCCTTTGGGATTTCTCTCAGCCTCCTTCCTGTCAGTCCCTTCTTTCTCCCTTTGTATGAGCTATAGTGACATTTTCCCTCTGTACTCTTCTCAGTGCTGAGGCTGGTTCCTAGCCACATGAGGCTGGGACTGACTTAACAGTTGTGGCAGGATGTATACATTCAAATGAGTGTTATTTTCTTTAAAACATGCATTGCAGAAAGATATGTACTTTGTTTTAGAATCATCACAAGGCTTTTCAAGCATTATTTTAAAGATAGTCTATTGAATTAACATATTCTTTGTATTAAATTTAATGTGTGGAATAGTCTGGAGTCACTTGGAACCAGTTATATTAACCACTTACACTGTGATTAAAAAAAAAAAGCACAGATCTGTTCCTTTTATCTTTTAAAAATTCTTATATGGTACCCCTATTATTCATTGAGTAAACTCAGCCATCCTTTCCTCTGCCTGTCCTACTTTGGGTTA